TCCCTCCCCCTTCCCCAATCAAGTCCCCCTCCCTTGTAAGCCCAAAGAGCAATCAGGGTTCCCTGCCCTGTGGGAAGTCCAAGGACCACCCACCTCCATCCAGGTCTAATAAGGTGAGCATCCAAACTGCCTAGGCTCCCACAAAACCAATAGGTGCAGTAGGATCAAAAACCCATTGGAAACTGTATTCTTTTAAACTGCCTAGCCCGTTATCTGTAGCCTCTTATTTACATATTGTTCTAAGCCATTTCTAATATTCTGTGTAGCCCACGAGGTGGCTTACCAGGCAGGGTCTTAACCTGCGTCTGTCTGGAGTGGGAGAATCATGGCGACTCCTGACTCAGCTTCTTTTTCCCAACATCCTGTTCTGTTTACTCCGCCTACCTGTGTTCTAACCAATAAAATGGGCCAAGGCAGTTTCTTTATTAGCCAATGACCTTCCTCCATCAATTGAACTTGTTTTTGGTCATCCTAGTCTTATCCTGTGTGTGAATTAGACCACTTATCATATAAAGGATAGAGAGACGGCTCATAGGTTAAGAGTGCTTGCTGTTCTTGCAGAGTCCCAAGTTTGGTTCTCAATGCCTACATCTGGTGGGTCCACAGCTGTCTATAACTCCAGCTCCAGAGGATCCAAAGCCCTCTTCTGACTCTCATGGCATCAAGTATATATGTATATGCACACATGCACACACACATGTACACACATGCATATGCACATAGACATAAATAAAAAAATTGTCAGGTAATGGTGGGCATTCAGTTCTGCATGCCTAGCATGTTCCAGGCCCTCAGCACCAGATACACAAATAAATATATATATATATATATAAATCAAAAGATGAAGAAGAATATCAACTCATACTTACCAGGTGTTTGTCATATGCCGAAAATCTCCCTCTAGACCAGTGTGCCTACTCAAATTTTGATAATGCAGTGATTATTTTATTGTTAAACATAGTTTAAATTCATGGTCTGTTTACTCTGCCAGGCATTTTGGTTATTTTTATGCTTTAATGTTTCGATAAAATACTCCAGGGGTCTGATCAATGTTTTCTTTTTTCCTCTTTTCAGCATTGGACTCAAAGGCTAACAATTTGTCCAGTCTGTCTAAGAAATACCGCCAGGACGCGAAGTACCTGAACATGCGTTCCACTTACGCCAAACTCGCAGCGGTGGCTGTATTTTTCATCATGTTGATAGTGTATGTGCGGTTTTGGTGGCTGTGAGGTGTAGTGAGCCTAGTCGCTGGTAAGGGAGAATCTAGAACCCGGCAGGTGTATGTTTTCAGGAAACTGAGCTCACAGGGCTGTGTATTAGAATCCAAGTGGAACTTCTGCCTCTAAAGACCCTGCAAGAAATGACCTGTCCTGAAAATGAAAGCTGGCGCCTCGTTTAAGGAAAGCTTAACCCATGTGGAAGTCTCTTTGGGGGCAGAGACTTTCTCTGGGTGCTCAGCCATATGTATTAGGGAACAGTAGATTGTTTGTTTCATTTCTTCCCCTCCCAGGATGTTTGTAAGACAGCAGAACTGGGGCATTCTCTTTCCCTGGTGGAGCCATCAGTGAATTTAAGATAGCCACCCCCTGCTAGCAACATCCTGAAATTCCCCTCAAAGAAGGCGGCCTGCTGGGGGGTCTTAACTTTAATCAACATTCCTTTGTTGGTGACATTTGTGATTGACTTCCAAGTAAAACTCAAAGTACATGAAAGTCAATTGCTCTGCTGCACAGATCTTGTCTGTTGGCCACTGTAGGAAGTTAGCCTTTGTTATTTTTCTTTTATATTTTGCTTATTGCACAGTTGCTTTGGGGTTAAATCAGTTACATTAACATGCCTTGAAATTATATAGTATTGCTCGACTAAAAGACTGAAGTTTTTCTGTCATTTACTCTTTTTTTTTGTTTGTTTGTTTTTATTCTATTTTTTGTTTTGTTGAGACAAGGTCTCTCTAACCTCAGCTGTCCTGGAACTCATGTAGACCAGGCTGGCCTTGAATTTACAGAGATCTACCCGCCTCTTCATTTACTCTTTGAGATTTAAAATCCCCTGGGACATTGTTAGTCTGGAGTGTCTGGTTGGTATAGAGTGAGTGTAGGGTAGGGTGGTCAGAGAGGAAAGGCCCAGCCAGAATGCCAGCTTTGGCCTGCCCCTTACTCCCACTTTGTCCTCTAATCTTTTTCTCATTCTTGGTTTTCTTTCCACCATGATTTGCTTAATTTCATAGTTTCATTTTTTAAGTATCCTACGAGGATATTCCCAGGTTTCAAACTGTGATGGACTCAGCAGTGTAGTTAGTTAAATGTATCATCTTTGCCGGTCAACCACTCATACAAATACTCAAGTATATTATAGAGAACATCTCTGAGAGCCCCTAATTCCTCTTTCGGTTCTTGTAAATTCTGCAAGAATGTTCTAGAGACAGAGAACTAGTGAACAGTGGCTTCTATTAACCAATGAAAGTACGTAAGACTTCTTTCCCCTTTTTGCTCAGGGATAATGGGGATTTCACCTTTTACCTTCTAAGGTAGAATTTTATAAGTGGGAAGAATAGGCCTTCTGAGTATTATCACAAGGGCCTACAATAGAAACTATAACTCCTGCAGATACTGCAAGCATTTCTTTAATTGTACTGGAAAAATGAGCCAACTTCTTATTTGTTAACATCTTTGGAAAGACTTTTAGTAAGCAGTTTTATAACCCTGGGATCATCACGGCTGCCCTATTCCTGGTGGATGACAACAGCCTCACTTCCTATGAGAAGGCCGGTAGGGATGCTTACTGTATTCCTGATAATCGCAGAACTAGAATACATGTTCTTCTACTCCGAACATAATTCTGCCAATTAGAGTTTTGTGCATGAAATACAAAATGACTTTTTGTAGAGAATAAGTGCTTTTACGTCCCTAAAAGGCTTATCCCATAAATAATGATGCTGGCAATAAAAGCCTTCGGAAGACTGAAAACCTAAGTAGTTGCACCGTAGTGTCTGGTGCTTCTCTGAGAATGGAGGGCGGCAGCTCATTGTTGAGAGTTGCATGCTGCAACCTAATGGTCAGCAATGAAATAAAGATTTCTAGAATGTTCTGTTCTCTTCAGTGTGAAGTTTGTTGTCTAGTTGAATTATGTGCACATATCCTCTTTGCGTCTTCTCTCATCTCAGTTGGCACTGAAGTAAGGGCGTGGGGTGAATGATGAACAAAGAAACAACGTGGTAAAGACGGGGCAGAGGGCAAAGAGGAAAGCAGACCTGGCCTCGAACGTGCGATTTTAATAGGTGGTAGCAGGAGGATCTGACTAGGCAAAATATGTAAACAGACAAACAGGCAGCCCAAGCAGAAAGGGTAGCAACGACGTGACGTTGGAGAAGGGACATCAGCTAACTTGATTCTAGGGAAGCAGAAGCAGCATTCTAGACAGAAGGCGGCTTGTGAAAGACATGTTTAGCAAGCGAGAAGACACGTTTGACTCCTCTTAGCTCAGGATAAGCAGAGACATGGGGAGAACCAGACGGGCAGTGCTGAACTGCAGGTTGACCCTGCTGTGCTTGGTGCAGGATGCGCTAAGGTTTGAAGTTGCAAACAGTTAGGTTGACTGTAATGTAAAAGGTATCCCAGACTGGAAGTTCCCAGGTGGAATTGGGGAGCCCTCAGAGGGTAATTAAGCAGACCAGTTTTGAGTGGTTTTCAAGAAAGAAGTGATGAGAGGTTTGGATGAAGTAGCTTATTGAAGTAAGTGTGCTTTCGCCTTTCGGCAAACCAGATTTGTCCAGAGTGTTGGAGCCAAGACTTAAATCGACCGAGCTTACTTTGTGCTTTTAATTTTTCAGGGAGGTATATGAAGTAATGGATTTCATCATGGCATCTGCTTACGTATGAGTCTATAATTGTGCTCTTTTGTTCCTCTCCCTCAGGGTCTGTTCTTGAATACCACCGAATAGTCAGCTAAAATAAGACTAAAAATGTATTTTGAGTTCAGCAACCAGAGATTTAGTAATACAAATAGAAGCCATTCCAGAGAGCTGAGAGCATAGGACAGAGCGCCATGGGTGCAGGCTTGACCCGCCGCACCGTGGGTGACGACAGCGCTGCCGTCACAAGCAGCTTTCTTGGCTGTTGTGACACAGAACTTCGCCACCTGTTTTATTGCAGCGTCTCATAGTGTCAGAGTTTGGGGATATTTGTCACATTGACATAGACCTGGTCTTTTTTTTTTTATGTTTTTTTTTTTTAACTTTATTTTTAATTTTATGTATGAGTACTCTGCATGTACACCTGAGTGTCAGAAGAGGGCATCAGATCCTGTTGTAGATGGTCATAAGCCACCATGTGGGTGCTGGGAGTCGAACTCAGGACCTCTGAAAGAGCAGCTGGTGCTCTTAACCGCTGAGCCATCTCTCTCCAGCCTGACCTGGTTATTTTAATGTCTTACAGTGGTTCTCAGATCTTTGAAAACCGGATAAAAGTGTGTGTCTTTACTCCAGGTAAGAGTGTTGCGTCCATCTCTGCCCAGGCAGGGCCACACACAGCACTGCTGCTGAAATCATGGCTAACTGGTGGGCCAGGAGCTTTCAGTTAACCCCAGGTGCATAGAGTGTAGACCTCAAAAGTCAAGCACCCAGAGCCCTGGAAAACTGGTGAGCTGGAGGAATACTGCAGTCTGAACTTAGGGACAAGCTAGAGTCTTCAAAGGTACTGTATGCACAAAATCATTTCTGTCAAATATTTCCCTGTATTATTTTCAGAGATGCTTTTATTAAATAGGATTTTGTTTTCAGTTCTGAGTACTCCAGCCACATAGAAGGAGCTTGAACTGTGTGTTTGTCTGTAAGAAGTTCATTACAAATACAAGGGAAGGGAAATATTCCCAGCACCCGTGAGGCAGAGGCAAGCAGATCTCTGCTAGTTCAAGGCCAGCCTGGTTTGCAGAAATGAATTCCAGGACAGCCAAGACTATACAGAGAAACCCTGTCTTGGAAAACCAAAAAAGAAAGAGAACAAGAACTGGGCCGGCAAGTTGGCTCAGTGAGTAAAAATGCTTGCCACCAAAATCTGAGCTTCACTCCCTGGGACTCAGGTGGTGAAAAGAGAGAGAATGGAATGTCCTCTGACTGCACTTGTGCTTTTGCGTGCACGGGTGCACACACACACACACACACACACACACACAAAACAAATGTTACAAAATTAAAAGATAATTTCTGTGCACACCAGATTTAATAAGATACAGTAAACCCCCTATAATTTATGTTCTCAGTCTTAATAGAAATTTTCCCTACTAAGTCCCAAGCGTTGTTGACCTCAAAACTAATGCATTTGATTCTGTGTACTTAATACTACTGACTGGGCTGGACAGCTAAGCTGTGTCGGGTTCAGCGGGATGCAGATAGCCAGGGCTGTAGAAATGTTACTGTTTTCTAATTATTCATTAGCCTGCCAGGCTGACTGACCTGTGTCATGACTTGAATTGAGGTCGAATAAGCAAGTTGAATCTTAGATTCCATCACTCACTGGCAGATCTCCTGGTGTGGACACAGCATCCCCCTAGTCATTTCTTGTGTTCCATTTCGGCCCTTCCTTCTAGCCCATCTCCAGTCCCTTGTGACTCACGCCAGCCTGCAGGGGAGCTGTCTACCTGGGGCCCCACAACCTTTCCTCCTGCTGCTAAACTGGGATTCCATGGCAGCCACATTTGACTAGGACCCAAAGTGAGCAAGAACAACCAAAGACCAGAACATCCACCCAACAGATACGAGGCCAGACATCTACACCATGAAACACTTCAGAAGTCCAGATGCCGAGATAGTGGTCCAATAACTCAAACACGCACAACTGAGACAATGCACTTCTGTCAGAAGCCAGCAACTCCATCGTATTAGGCCCTGAGAAAAGCAATTTAGCCATTGTTGCTGTCAGGAAGGGGTACAAATGAGCAAGTAAAATTCAATTTATTCTCCTGGTTCTCTGGATTTTTTTTTTCAAGTGCTATAACCATGTTTTCGCTTTAAAACTTTGAAGAATTAGAATTCAGACTTTGGTACAGTAACATACACTGGAGTCTGTAGACAGAAGTTTCTGTCCCACCTGGTCCTACAGTTATTTTCAGTACCAAGTAAATGCATAGAGGCTTATATTAATTACAGACTGACTGACTTCCTAGCTCTATGAAATGGGCTCCATGAAACCAACTGGGGGAGAGGGGAGGGGTTGGGGAGGGAGGAAGGAGTTACACAGAAAGACATTCTGGAGCAAAGGAATTGAGTGAGCCATGCTATGGAGTCAGTGCCTGGATACAAACACCTAGACCAAATGGTGTGACCAAAACAAGTTCAGAGTACAAGAAGAGAAGCCCAGAAGAGCATGGGAGCCAGGGTATGACCTGGAGTGTGTGGTCTTTCACTATGTAGATGTAGTCAGTCCTTTTGGAAGACTTGCGGTATGATGACAGTCCTGGGATAAAAGGTGTGCATGGGAAAAGCGTAAGGAGGCTACTGCCAGCACCTGTGGTAGTTTCCAAACGCTTAGACCAAGGCAGAACTCTGGGAAAGGAAGAGGAGATGGACAGGAACGGTTGGAGATTGGCAAACAAGGGGGCGTCAGATACAGCTCACATCTTGACGATGTAGGTCAGGTAAAGGAATTGGACACTAGGAAGCTGGTCAGGTTTACCTTCAAGGCCAATGGGGTACATGCTTTAGATATAATTAAGTTACTTATGGAATACTAAAAGCAGTCAATAAGCAGAAGAAAACAGTCTCCAAAGCAATACGGGCAATAGCTGAAGTCCTCACTGGAAAACCAGAGAAGTTTGTGTCTTGAAATCTTACATTGTTTATATTTTTTTCTCCAAAGGAATTCCTTATAGGAGTTTATTATTGTTAACTATAATGCTAAATTAGAGAGCGAGCGAGAGAGAGAATATTATAAAAAAATCTGGGAAATGAGGAAGCATGAAGAGAATGGACAAAGGAACATAAGAAAATGGGGGGGGGAGGTATTCTTTGTTTCTAAAATGTTCACTCTGCTAAGCCCCTGGAGAACACTGGACTAATGCTAAGACTGGATTTTCAAAGGGAGCAAATACAGCAAGGAAAGACGGAACATATGCCAAGGGTGGAACAAAGGGAGATGTGGCTGATAACTCAAATGAAAATCTTAAACACGTAGCTTTCACAGTAAGCACGCCAACAGGAACCTAACAGGACAAGTAACCGTGGAGGACAAACGCCGGCATCATCCCTAAGGGTCAGTAAGCAGAACAGTGTAGTGAATCCGTAACTTGCAGCCCAGGACTCACATCTAAGTATTTCAATGGGCTGCTTATGCAACCTTAGGCAAAAAAAAAAACCATAAAATTATAATAGTATGCCCAGGACTCCATGACTAATAAACAGCAACTCCCACAGTACCATGCTCACATGTCCAGCAGGTGGAGCCCAGCAACTCAAAAGGACTTGTCTCTGTCCCTAGATGTAGGCCCTGTGAGGTCCCTGCAGCCGAAAACAGTTTTGCTCTGCCTTTGAGTCTTGGCACCCAGTCCAGTGGCTGGTTCATGGGACATACTCAGCATACATTTGCAGGGTCAGTACATTGAATCATAACGTTTTGTACACACTGTAGGGGAAATGGAATGAGAGGAGAAAACAACAGCAAAGTGGGATTAAAGGGATTGGGGCGGGGGAGAAGCACGTGAAAGAAACCAGAACAAAATACCAGGAAGGCGAATGTATAGTGAGCGCGTGGGAGGAGGGAGTTAGCAAACAAAATGGGTACTCTGGAACAGAAGTAAATGAGAGGTAAGAAAGCGGAGAAGAAAAGAAAGGGGCGAATTGGGAGGGAAAAGTTACAGACAGCCAGTGGGTCTATCCGGAGGCTTCCAGTGGACCATTGCGGTGCACCACGCCCATCTGCGCTCTGTGCGCCACCATACAGTTAGTGAACCCGGCAAAGGGCTGGAGATTGAAACACACAAAGACTCACAGAGAGACAGAGACACGGGTCATCCTTGAAACAAAAATGCCCCCTTTATTGTGTACCAGAGCCGCTTATATAGAGGTCCTTAACTGATAGCCACGCCCCAGCCAAACG